CTCTATCTCTCTCTATCTCTCTCTCTCTATCTCTCTCTCTCTCTCTCTCTCTCTCTCTCTCTCTCTCTCTCTCTCTAGCTCTTTTGCTCTCATAATTTTATGCATTGGTTTAGTTACTAAGGAACAAGAGAGAACGGTAGATGTGTGGCGCCTTATCGCATGTGTTGTTCTCTTGTTTCCAGACGGTCGATCATCAGACGATACTGTGCAACAGTGGCGCCATCCAGGTGATGGCTCCGTTACTACAGGAAGATAACTATCGTGTTCAGATGCCGACACTGAAATGTTACGCTGCGATGTGTTATCAGAATCCTCACGTCTCTCAACTCATCACAGACGGTAGGTGCATGCGCACACACCACGCACGCACGCACGCAATCACACCACGCACACAGACATGCAGTCGTACGCACGCACGCACGCACGTACTACACGCATGCACACACACACCACGTGAAATGTTACGCAGCGATGTGTTATCAGAATCCTCACGTCTCTCAACTGATCACAGACGGTAGGTGCATGCGCACACACCACGCACGCACGCACGCACACCACGCACACATACATCCAGTCGTACGCACGCACGAACGCATGTACACATACCACGCACGCACCCCACGCACACATACATGCAGTCGTACGCACGCATGCACACATACCACGCACGCACCCCACACACACAGACATGCAGTCGTACTCACGCATGCCAGGGCCGTAGCCAGAGGTAAATTTTGTAGGAGGCAAATGTTGTGAGTTAAAGAACAAGGAGCGAAGCGAGCCAATAGGGCGTGGGGTATGGGGTCCGCTTAATTTTTTTTTTGAGAAATTTTGTAGGAGGCATTTGCCTCCTATTGCCTAATGGTAGCTACGGCCCTGATGCACGCGCGCACGCTACACGCATGCACGTACTACACGCATGCGCACACACCACGTATGCACGTTCACATGTACGGTTCATGCACTGTGCTCACATAATACTTGTTCAATGGCTGACTGTAGGTCAATTCCATCGAGTAAGGTGGCACTGCATGGCAACGCGTCGCATCAGGCGAGCGTGCGGATGCTCACTTGTCAGGTCTTGATCTCTCACGCGCGCATGCTTGGCTGTGTTTCAGCGTATTACAACGGACGCTATGTGACGGACAGCATTGTTGTACTTCTGTCACGAGACAAAACACTCCACATGCAGATGGCAGCAGCTAAGTGGTAAGTAGCAATACTCATAGCAATACTGAGAGTAATCTATATAATAATTTGAGTAGTGTCGTTCTGTTTGTTCCTGCATAACTTCTAGGCACGTGCACAAATTCGGCTGAAATTGTTCGTGCTTCATTCCTACGCATCAGGTTCGATTCTAACACTTTGCTTTTTAGCTCATCTGACATAGTCAGATGCAGCTTGTAGAATCGCATGATCGTCCGTCCGTCCGTTCGTCCGTCCGTCAACAGTTGGGCACAAATCTAAACGGCTCGACGTACGGT